GAACTCAAGCGCCAGCCATGGTGTGGGCCGCCATAACAGCCGATGGTCGCTCTCCGCTCGTATTAATTGCACGTGGCACCTGCAAATATTTTGGCTGCAGACTTTTGACATTCAGCACCATCGCACCATCGCACCCAGAACCTCGCTTTATTTCCAGCGCACAATGGCCACGAAAATCTCCGGATACCAATCCGTTGGACTATTGTGTCTGGAGTATTATGGAAAGCAATGTTGGCAATAAAAAATACCAAGGGTGTCGATCAACTCTACCAAGCGACTCGCCGGGAAAGGGTCGAAATACAGCAGAGCAATATTAGGGCGTGTGTGACGGTTTCATTGGCAAAAATTCGTGGTGAAGCCTTTCGACTAAATCTAAAATTATTCTAAAACTTGATGCTATTTCCGACTTTTTTTTTGCATTCATTCAATAAAATTTAAAAAAAAGTCAAAATTATGGCGTTTGACTTTGATGCAGTTTTTTTATCTCACCCTATATATACAAGGTGGCGTAAAAGAGTTACGCTACACTGCTCCAGAACACGGAATATTGGTAACTGTTTATTTAACCAATAATCGGTTGGTGACTTTGGCACAACGTGAGTTTCATCGCAGATTTCCTGGCCGTCCAACGACTACTGGTGAAACACTGGGACGTTCAGCCGCTCACCTCGAAGAGACTGCTACAACAAAAGATGCTGCCAGGCGTGGCAGACCCGGAGTATATGTTCTGCAGAGAATATTGCTGCTGTACCCGTGGATGCAATGAAAGCTCCGTCGACATCGACCAGACGAAATGCTATGCAAATGGGTATCAGCCGATGGACTTTACAGCGAATATTGGTATGATTTGAAGATTTTTTCGAACAAATTCCAGATGGTGCATCAGCAGTTAGCTGCTGACCGCGAATCGTATCTAACATACGCTCAAGCCATTCTTAATCACCACCAAGAAGAAGAATATTTTTCTTTAAAAATAATCATGAGTGTTGAGGCCCATTTCTATCTTAGGGGGTAGGTAAATAAGCTAAATTTACGCTTTTGGGGCTCTGAATATCCGCGTGTACCCGGCGAAGAGCCATTACAACTGCTCAAAGTCACTGTATGATGTGCCGTTTTTGCTAGAGGAGTCATCGGACCTTTTTTTTCGAAGACGTCGCGGCCCAAACGGTTACTGTAAATGGTGAGCGCCAAGTTGGGAATGGAAAACACAGGGCACACACTGCACGTGCCACAACCGATATGCTGAAGGAAGCATTTCCCGGGCGACTCATCTCCCGTTTTGGCGAATTGCCCAGACCACCAAAATCGCCTGATTTGATAGCTACAGACTTCTTTTTGTGGGACTTTTTGAAATTGCGGGTTTATGTCAACAAGCCCCAGACTCTTCCAGCTCTTAAAGACAATATCCGTCAAGAATGTGAGAATCTACCGCCGGAAGTTTGGCTAAAGTGATGGAAAATTCCATAAAATAGGCTCAAATAACAATAAGCTGTGGCGGCGGCCATTTTCATGACATCATATTCTCGACTTGATATAAAAAAAACTTTAAAACCCACCGAAAAATAATCCCAAAGAAGAATCAATCGTTTTTTCATTTTTTTTTAATTACAGTCAAAAAGTATCGGATGTTTATTTTTGCGTCACCTTGTATCTCAAAATGGAGCCCCTTGGCCCTGTACAGCCAAGTCTATATATATATATTTTTTTTTTTTTTTTTTGATAATTGGCCTATGAACGAAATTTTTATGGAGTTCTTACCTACACACCAAAGACTATCATATTCACAGGACTATTATATTTGAAAAGGCTATTCCACAGTTACGTTATTAAAATAATATGCAGCAAATTCGGAAAAAGTGTTAAATTTTGCGAAAATAAAAAAAATATTGTAATTATAATTATAATTATAAAAAAATTGACTTTTTACTGTACATATTAAGTATACAATTTTTTTTGTTCAGAATCTCACAGCGAAATCTATTTTAAAATATTTCTTTCTTTGATACTTTTCCTAAAAATTAAGTATAAAAGGAGATTTAGAGTTAGAGCTCTAAAAACAGAAACACATAATTTTCACTTGTTGTATAAAAATTTCGAATGTAATCTTGGAAACTATTAAAGCTAGGTAAATGATGTGATCTGAGATGTGTAGGGAAATTTTGTGTGGAATGTTTCATTCTTTGACAATTTTTGCCAAAAACGAAATTTTATATTACAATAATATATCAGCTCAAAAAAAAAAAAAAAAAAAAAAAAACGAGAAAAATAGTCCAAAAATTGGAAAATAATTTTGCTACTGTTGGCAACATTGATCCAGATATTTTCTAGATATGTAATGAAAATAGAGATTACTTGTCTTTGGTAACTTATAGTGAAATATGAGAATTTTGTAAAACCTCACAGAGGTGCGACTTTAACCCTAAAATGTGTTATTTATAAATTGCTGCCGTTTATGTAAGATTGGGACTTTTGATTTATTCTTGGACCTAAAATTAAAATTTTAAAATAAAATTTTATAAAGAATAGTTTTGTATATTCGTTTTAAAGGGAGTTTTTAACCATATTTTACAACGTTTCGACTCCTCATATTTTTGTCTGCAATATTGCTGAATACACTATATACCTAAAATAAAAGTACTTCGAGGAATCTTAATCCAAAAATCTTCAAAACTGTGAAAGATGGTGGTTACTTTGTGAGGTCTTCTATTTTTGACTCCACTTCCATAATCTACTGCACTTCCTATAATAATTTTGTTGAGAGTGTATTTTCTGCCACCATAATTTGAGTTTTATTTAGATGCAAATTGTAGTCGGTATTCAGAAGCCGATTTCGATCTTTGGTAACAATCATTTTCCAAAATGTTATGATTTTTTTTTCGAGATCCTACCTACCTCCAACTAATTTATAATTGGTTTTACAATTCTTTGCAAAAAAAAAAAACATAATCCGGTTATTTTGTATCCCTTTTACTGGAATGTTATATTTCTAAAACAAGTTGATCGTAACCACAGGAATAAAATCTGTAGCAAGAACCCAAAGGATAAAAATCTATTTAAAAAAAAGGGATTATATCCAGGTGTTTCAACCCGAACTTTTATCACATTTTGAAAACGCTTTCCAATCACATTTATTCCCCCCAAAAAATAAAATTATAAAATATTACAAGAAATAAAACAAAGCTTTTAATGGCCATTTCTACCCCTTTTAATGATTAAACCAAAAGAAACGTGGAAAGAAACCAAAAAATAATGACGTAGAATTTAATTATATTACCTTTATTACTTCCTCTAACATTTTTCTTTAAATGTCTAATGACCTAAGCCTGACGTACCTCGTAAACTAAAGTGCAAACATAAAAGAACATAAAACAAATTCATTTAATTTAAATGTTGCATGTTTTTGAACAACGCGAAACATAAGAAGAACACGAGACGCAAAAAAAAAGAATAGAAAAAAAACACATTGGAAAAATTATGAGTAACGAAAGGCATGCAACAGTTTTCTTAAAGTTCTTTAGTTCGTCACCGTGGGTGGGGTGGGGGGATGGTTTGGCAAACTTTCTTACTTGGGCGCAAATATGGAAAAACTTTTAATTTAAAAGTTACTCTGGGGAGGAGACAGAGGTCGACAAAGATACACAAAAAAGTACACGATAGGGAGCTAAGAGGGCGGCAAGTTGACTATGTTTTCAACGAGTGTTTTGCTCTGGCCGGAGTTCAGAGTTGAGTTGTTTTTATGAAGAGGCCAAAAAAAGAAAGAAAAAAATCCCCTCTAGCCAAAATTTAATTGCTTCGCATATACTGACAATTGTTAAGGAATCTCAAGTGTTACATTATTCCCTAAAGGGTTTTAAAAGGACATTACTTTAAGTGTTTCGACTGCCACAGAGTTTCACAAAACAATACAGCAACACAAAGGCAGTGCTATAAAAGAGGGGAAACAAAATAATTTCTAACACAGAAACTTGTTACATCCCTGAGAGGGAAATGAGGGGAAATTATGGCAATGGGAATGCAATGGTATTATGGAACAGGACTTGTTAGATTCTGCTTGTTGACCATAGGCAACGGAATGGAATACCCACAAACTTGTTACTTGTACAAGCACAACATGCATATGCCGGAAAGGGGAAATGTGGTACACTTTAGAAACGCCATGGCAATGGAACACTCATTCACTTTTGTTGAATGAAATTGTAAATGTAACCAACCCCTCTTTACCGAGAAATGCAACAATTTCTAAATGGCAATGAAAAATTGACTTTCCCCTTGCCCCTTCTGAGAAACTACCTCCTCCCTTGAGTATCTGGGGAGATAGAGAGAGAGCGAGCCTGGAACTGCATGGAAATGAAACACTCTACTTCCTGATTGTTGCTGCTTTGATTTGAATTTTTATTACCGCAATCATCGCATAAAACAACAATGTAAATACGAGTTATCCTTATGGCCGATTCAATTCCTTTATGTTGTGTTTTGCTTTACTGCTCTCGCACGCTCACTCACTCACTCGCTCGCTCATTTCGCTTGCCACTCACCGCACATGTCCTTTTGTGTTGAACACGTACGTATCCAACAGATACGTACTAACACGAATCAAACGAAGGGACGAACGAAGGGAACAAACGACCGACCATCCAACTGTCTGACATTCAAGTTGGCTGGCTGCCTGAATGGCAGCAGCAACAGTCTGCCTCCCTTAGAGTGTAGCACGAGTTATCCCATATCAACAGAGAGTCTTGTCCATCTGTCGCACTCAGCGATGGCAATTCGCCGCCTTTGGCCCATTGTGAGTGAATTCGCTGTTCGCCTTTTAACCTTAGCATAAGGGTTGGTTTTACCACTCAGCCTCAGCCGAAAGAACTGTGTTCTCAGCCGTGTTCCTATGGACGAAACACGTTTCGCTTCCACACCGTTGCTGGCCAAAGAGCACCAAATGTTGTGATTGTCGCTGGATGGCTCTATATAAGGGCTGACACTTAACGTTGGTGTTTTCATTAACCTCCAAGGGTTGCTTACGTTCGGTTCGCATTTCTATACTCTCTATTTCTTATCAATTAAAACTCTTTAAACGGATCCTTAAGTTTTTTATTTCCCTAAAACTCACACACACACACATCAATCAGTCAGTCAATCAATCAGTCAACTTTACTTTCCATTTCTAAACTTGAATTTTTTTAACTCAACTAAAAAAAACAACAACAACTCAAAAGTTATAAAACAAAAATTGTTAAAAATAAATACGAGAAAACAAACGAAAGCTAAAAAAGTGAAACAGACTGCCCAGAAAAGAAAAGTAACAACAACCAATCGGAAATCAATAACTTCCGGCTTTACAAAAAAATAAGAAAATACAAATCGAACCTTAAGACCGACCGAAAATACGCGAGTTCAACTGGATTTTTGTGTGAACGAAACGGAAGTGCAAAAAGAAAAGCAACAAAAATCGATAAAATGCAAAACCTTAAGACAAGTGAGAAAACTAACTAAGAAACCGAAAAAAAGCAATCGACCAAGCGAGCAGCGAAACAAAAAAAGGATTATGGTTTAAGAAAGGTCCTGCTCCAGACTCCTACCAAGAAGCCTAGAAAGCAAAGCCAAAATATGAAATCCTAAAACTCCCCATTAAAACACAATAGAATTTCGACGAGCCCTTAACTATTTTGCCACAACAGTAACAAAAAAACAACAACAATATTTAATTTTATGTTCTAAACGAAAAAAAAGAAAAGCCCATAAAAATTTCCTTTCCAAATCAAGTTTTTTGGATATTTAAGTTTTACTGCAAATAAAAAACTTTTGCTCGTGCGAAAAAAAATCGAAACCGGAAACTTCGCAACTCAGTAACTTCCCTAGATTCCCAGATCACTGGAATCGATCGCACTACACCATAAACATTTCATTTCATTAGAACTTTGAGTTTGAACTTGCCAACAAAATGCCACGCTGTCTAATGGCCAAAAAATGGAAAGCCTATCCCTGGCCAGATCGTGCCGAGGATAAGAACTCCGGCAACAGTGGCTCAGCGATTAGCACCTGCGACAGCATTGTTAACTTGCCCGAAGTTAGCATACAATTGGTGGAGAAGAAAGTGGAGCCGAAATCGCGGCGTTCCACAATCGATGAAGATGAAGAAATCGATGTTGTGGGCGATAATGTCCTCGCAAATGCAGCAGCTACAGCAACGGTCATTATTAAATCAAGTGATTTGAAATCATCTGTATCTGCATCATCGTCGTCGTCGTCGTCCTCCTCATCAGCATCGCCATCAAATCAAAGCAGTGAAACATCAACTGCAACGGCTACATGTTGGGGCCCATCATCACCCACGGCTGGTGCAACGGCACCCAGTCCTCCGCCTCATTCGCCAGAAGCAGCTACACGTGGTACCACAACTTTGTATAATGGTAAGTAGAAACTTTGGGAATGTTGGGAAGTAAAGAAAGGGGAGGAGGCTTGGAGGGACTTGTAGGAAATATCTGAAAATGGAAATTTGAAATTTGGTTCTGAATTATAAAGGGGAGAAATAATATCGGGGACAAGGAGACAGTCCTAACTTTGAATTACTTGATTGTTATGATGTACTATAAATAAAAAATATTAGAAATTTTTTAAAATAGAAATTACACCGAAACTTAAAAATTAAATCCGAAATGAATTTTTGAAATTACATGGCAAAAAAGAAATTAAGAACAGAGAAGAAAAAATTTATTTGAAAGTTATTCATTCAGAATTTATCAGAAATATTGTTTTCTTGGCTTTTGAAATAGTATTTTTGGCTATTTTGGCTATTGGCCAAAAATACTATTTCAAAAGCCACTAAACAATATTCTTGAAAAATTCAGAACGAATAACTTTCAAATGATTTTTTTCTTCTCTGTTCTTAATTTCTTATTTGCCATTAAATTTCAAAAATACATCTCGGATTTAATTTTGCAATTTTCGGTGTAATTTCATTTGATAAAATCCGAATTTAATTTTTTTTCGCAATTTAGCAAAAATATTCTTCTTTGGCAATACTATTGTGTTTTGAAATATTATTTTTGATAACGAAATTAATTTTTATATAAAAATCAACAATAACTCATCTAATGTGTGCTTCTGAGGCTAATATTTCATTCCATTAAAATATGAAGTTAGAGATTTATTTATTTATTTGTTTTTACAAAATTTTGAATTCCCATTTTTATAGAATCTAGTAGCCGATTATAAACCCAAAAAAATAATCTCGGTATATATTAAAATATCAGTCATAAATGTAAATATTCGTTTTCAACATAATTTGTGAAGTTTTAACAAATGATTATGGGTTATTGAATTTTTGCCACTTTTATGGTAGCTACTTAAAAAAAAAAAAATTTTTTGTCAGATTTTTGAAAATTAGGTGGCATTGTTACAGTTAGCCTTTTGATCAGCTGCAATAAATCGGTTACCAATTTTCATTCATTTATATATTGATGTGCCCAGCCTAAAAGAATGCATCATACATGCTCGATGTTGTATTTTGAAGATAATGTACTACTTTCTGATTATTAAAATAACAATGACTTTCTTAAATTCCTTCCTTAAATTTGATATTATTTTTTTACAAATATTGAAACATTTTTACTTGTTTTTTATCTTTGATCACAAAAATATATGCTTTGATAGTTAGCATTGGGATCGAGTTCCTTTTTTTAAATAGTTATTTACCCATCATAAAATACAATTTTCCAAAATTCTACTTTTTTTCCGGAGAAATAATAAAATAACAAGGATTTTCTTAAAGGATAAATCATTTGTTTTAAATATCTCAAAAAAATATATTTTACGTATTATAGGGACCACATCTTTTAAAATTTATATTTGACCATTTTTTGGTCGCCATAAATCCCTTTAATATTCTACTATCTAGTTCGAGGAAAAATCCTGACATTATAAATTTTTAATCATTTATATTTTCCTGACTGTTCCCACCAGACAAAAACAACAAAATATGTGATTAGGAAAATAGGAACCAATAATTTTCTTTTAATGATGGCAGACAAGTGTCATTACCCTCCATAGACCCAAAAATAGCGGACAAACAAAAGCTCAAAATTACAACTAGACAGACAAGACAATGTTAATAATGTACATAATTTGCTTGTTATATATTAACAAAACTCAATCACACAACAGGCTATGTAGTTACTCTTGCATATACATACATTCCAAATAAGTAAATAATAATAATATTATGATGATTCTCACTTAAAGCCAAAGTTAATTACAATGAAATGGCCCAAAGGTTAATAACTGGAAAAAAAAAAAAAAACCTAAAACCAAAAAATCGAACAGGACATTTAGCCACTGTTAAAGTTTACTCTCCTAACTTGGCAACAAAAACAAATGACTTTACTACTCACAAAACAACCAAAAAGAGACCAAAACAAATGGAAACATATTAAACTTAAAGTCATTAAGGAAACGGAAAGGACAAGTTGGAACTAAGAGACAGAAAAAAAGCGGCGAAACCGCATTTAAACAACAATACCCTCACTCTCACACCCACACTGAATCGTGGGGCATGCTTCTTGAAACCTAAAATTTCTTGTAAATAAATGAAAATGTTTTTCGTGCCAGGACGCCCAAAAGTCATTAAGTTTAAATTAGGGAAAAATGCGTAGAAAAGCCAACTTAAATACACTGATAAATTATTGCTGTTAGACTTTGAGCTTAGTTGGGTTATAAATGGCTGCAAGTGAAAACATGGAAATAAGTCAGGGGATTTAGAGTTTGTTTGCTTTTTATTTGGGAAATTAACACCTGAAAAATTGAAAATTTTCGATTTGTTTTTTTTTTTTTTTGTTTTTTGAGAGAGGCTGACAATTGATTGCGGAAGTTTAAAATACGTGTTTGAATTTTTGAAAGAAAACTTGGGGAAGAATGTTTTTTTTTATTTTTAAAAGTTGAGGGTCGATTCAGAGTTTTTTTTTTTTTTTTTTGCTTTAAATCTGATAATGACATATTCAATAAAAGCATATATTTAAAAATATATCAATATATTTTTGAGAAAAAATTATATAAATATATATTTTAACTAGAAATATATAAAAAATGTATTTTTAAGAAAAATATGTATCATTATATAGTTAGAATAGCTTGAATGTTGCTCTGCGTCATTTTGGCCCAATCCCGGCGAAGCGCTTCCTTGAGGTGATCGACACTTTGGTATTTTTTAGTGCCAAACTTGCTTTCCAAATAATCAAGACACAATAGTCCAACGAATTGGTATCCAGAGATTTTGGTGGCCATTGTGCTCTGGAAATGAAGCGAGGAACCTCATTTTGTAAGCATTTATGGGTGACGCGTGCTGAGTGCGATGGTGCTGAGTCATGTTGGAATGTCCAAGGTCTGCGGCCCAAATGTTTGCGTGTGCAACGATCTAATACACCCTCCAGAATATGTTCGCGACAATATTCGGCATTTATTTTGATGCCATGCTCGATTAATACGAGCGGAGAGCGACCATCGGTTGTTATGGCGGCCCACACCATCACCATGGCCGGCGCTTGAGTTCTGGTGGCCAACCGGAGGTGCACATTTTCAGCTGACCTCTTTGGCAAGTAAATACGATCATTTTGTTTGTAATGCCAGCAGTTTGTAATGCTTTCTCATCGGAGAAAACCGATTTCGACAGTTCACCACTTTCGACCAAGTAAAGCAACTCTTTATCTCTTTTGAGTCTATTTTCTTTCCGTTGCGGTGTAAGTTCTTGCACTTTTTGGAATTTCAATGGCTCATTTTTCAATATTTGCCGAATGGAATATTGCAAAATGTTCAGCTCATGAGCCATTTTTCGGCCACTGTGACACGGCGTTTTTAATTCAAAATATGGTAATAGAATATTTTAAATTTTTGGAAAATTTATAATGAGTTTCTTAATATTTTGAATAATTTTCGAAACTTATATTTATAAGGACCTTTATTTCAAGACATTGTAAATATTTATTTTTAGAATCTGTTCCTCCAAATATTATTACTACCTTTTGGAATAATAACTAGTTTATATTCCCTCTGATTTTTTAATGTTGAAAACTTTTTATGTAACCCTTCAATATTTGGAATAATTATTTAAAAGACATTTTTCTTAAGACTTGTTTCATGACATTTTCGCATTTATTTCTTCAATTTATTTTCTCAGGTTTTTCTACTGGCATTACTAACGATTTAAGCATAAAATTTTATTCAATTTCATTTTTAAATTTTTTGGGACATTTAAATTGAGCCTTTCGTATTTTTTGGAAATTATTATTCAAATGTGATATTTATTACGACTTATATTTCATGACACTCCAATTGTGTTTATTTTTAGAAAACTGTTTTCTCAATACTTCCAATGACGTTATTTTGAATTTGAATTTCATTTGGTTTCCTTTCTCTTTTAGGCTTTTAATCAAACCGTTGTTAGAATGACTTTGAAACTTAATTCAAATTCATTCTAGAGGCTTTTCTTCGAGTCCCTGTAACCACCCACTATTGTTGTGTTGTAAGGACTTGTTGGGGCTACTCCAACTCTTAGCAGCTATTAAACCTGATTTCCATCTCTAAAATGTCGTGTTTTAAGTTTTTTTTTTTTGTTATTGCCAGGTTTTATTGTTGTCTCACAAAAAAAGAAAAAAAAAACGAACACGCATATCCGTATCCGGTTGCCAGCCAACCCAGGGGGAGCTAAAATTCAGGCCCACCATTTCCAAAAAAAAAAGAAAAATATCTATAGAAAACGAAATTGTTTTGTACTATTGCCCAAACATTATTTACCATGTTTTCTTTTATTCCATACCAAAACGACAACAACAAAATATTTGTTTGTTTTCCCCTTCTCTATCTGTGTCTCTCTCCATCTCTCTCTTCGCTGGGCCGAAAAACCTTTAAGGCATTTAACTCGTTTCAAATTTATAATGTTCTGTTTCTGTTAAATGTTTTGACAAATTTCGTATTAAAGAATATGTTCTGATCTTTGGCAATATCCATTGCTGTCCTTGGGTTGTTTTCCCCCACCCCCCATTTCCCCAGCAAGGGTGTGCAAGTTAACTGCCTTTTTTGTGTAGTTCGAAAAAAACACACACATTTTCCCAGAGTGGGAGGGATTGAAAGGATTTGGTTATTTGAGCGTAATAATACCGTCGCAAAAACAAATCAACTGTTAATAGAAAAATAAAAAAACGAGGAATGAAAAAACTTGTAACGATGAACTGACACAAACACAGAGCTGAACAAGAAAATTGTATTACGGCAATAACAACAAGAAAACAAGGAAAAATAAATAGAAAAATAACCCATGGCAAAAAAGGTTGTTGCGTTGTCAGCATGTTGCTTCGCAGACGAAATGTTCATCATGGCAGTCATCATGATGAGCATGGTTGCCAGCATCAGCAGCAGCACCCCGGCCATAGCTTTTCAAACAAACACTCACTCACACACACACACATGTATGTATGTAATTTATTTGCCAAATTCCTAGGCCTTATTCGCTTTGGTTTTGCAATTTCAAGTGTTTTCTATGTTTGTTGTTTTTGTTGTTGTTGTTTCATGTCTGCTTAAAGCTTGAATGCTTGACTGCGAGACAGTCTCTAAAAACTCAACCATCAACTCTTTCATCACGTTGCTTAGAGCCCAACCCAGCCCGGTTCAGACATGCCGTTCAGCTGGCTCAATATCCAACAAACACCCCAATACGCTGTTAGGCACAGCGGCCTTAGTGTTGAGTTTATTTTTTTAGTCTATATCCTTGCATGATGATGATGATGAGTATATATTTTCCTCTTTAGCCAACCCCCTCCGCCAACCTCTCCCCCCTCACCAACACACACATGTTGTTGGGAAACTGTTGCTATACAAGCAAACAACCAGACCTCACAATTGTATATATCAACAAAAGGCAAAGCCAGCAATCACGTGAAATATGTGTAGCATACTTATGGGCGCAACAGTAAAGGGTAAAATTACGGCATCAAGGGGTTCGAAAACATTCAAGATTTCTTATATTTAATATAGAAAATTTAATAATTTAAATTTGTTTAATAATATTTCTATTAAACAAATTTAAATTATTAAGAGAGATTTATTCGTGGATCTGCTTAAAGTTTTATGACTTATATTTTGATAAAGATTTAAATTCAGAAAGAAATTGTTAGGGTATTTTATTTCTACTCCATATTTTTGTGAATATATAACTCTCGATTTACCCAGGTCCTAGTTTTTTTTTTTTTAAATTTTTTATTTCTAAACAAAAATCTTTCCATTTTTCCATTTAAATCGCTTCCATGCGTTCCATGGCAACCCCATAATTCAATTGAATTAATTTTACTAATGTTTTCCCCTGAAAAAAATTTCAGGAATTTGCGATATGACACAAGCTGTTGGTTGGCTCGCTGTTGAATGTAAAATCTTAAATCCCAATCTCATGGTGGCATTCATTTAGCAACTCCTCCCTTTTTTCGGATCGTTTATCCTTGATGGCGTGTATTTTTCCCCCACCTCCTCAAAACTTAACAATGTTTCATAAAACTATTTAATTTTGCAAAAACACTAACGTAGTTGGATTTTTCCGTATTTTTTTTCTTTTTTTGCTGAGCCAAATTTGTGAGAATATGACCCAGAATGTGACACATGTCACCAACATAAATCTTCAGAACACAACCCTTTTTTTTGTGTTAGCCTGGTTGGCTGACTGGTTGGTTGTTTGGCATTGTGATGCAACAGAGGCAACCAAGCGTCTGGGCTTAATTAAAAAAAAATCCGCACACACACACACATTCACATACACATATGATGGAGGATTTACCTAGCCAAAAGCTAGACGATTTCAATCTATCGGCTGCTGCCACATTTATTTCTTGCCATATTTCATAGGAATCAAAGCGACATTATTTCTAAATGAGTTGTCTACAGATTTAGGACATGTTGTGCCATTTTTAGTTTTTTTTATGTCTTATCTGTTGTATCTATGGCAGACAGACACACAGGCTGTTAGAGGCTGGCCTCACTGGATTTTTGTTGTGTCTTTTTTTACCTCATTTTAAAGGTTTCTCATTTTCTTGCTTCAGCCTCTTCTAGTATTTTTTGTCGGTACGCATTGAATGTGCCGTTGTGAGCTTTAAATGTCCCCTCAATGCAAAGAGTTTTTGCATCCATCGTTGAGTGCGGTGGAAAAAAAGTTTGGCCAAAAACTTAGTTGGCTGGGGGAATAGAAATATTTTGTATTCTGTATTAAAAAGCAAACCAAAGCCAAGTAGCGAGGGACCCAAGAGTACACACCCAACCGTATTGGCGCACACACACAGATAGACACACATACACGCCGACCGGCAAACAAGGACACAGACACCCCGGTTACTCTTGAAACATTTGAGGAGTTTTATTTTTACAGCCAACGGAGCTAGCTAGTGTTGGTCTTGTCGAGTCTTTTATTTTTTGGGGCCTTTTGGGAGGTTATGGCGCGTATGGAGTACTGCAATGCGACATTTTTAATGTTTTACATTTTCACATTTTTCCATAGCTTCTGTTCGGGGTTCGGTAACTTGGCTTTCTTTCCTTTCGTTTTGCAAGCCTACTACATAGCCCCTTTTACAGGAAGCACCTCGGCATTTATGTACATTTGGTATGTGTAACATTTTGGTCTACGCCTCCACCACCCGAACCCAAATGTCGTTGTTGCAACACATCAAGTAAAGTTGGCTTGCACCACCACCACCTGCACCACAGTAGTAAGGCGTCTATAACGTGGAAAAAAGTTTTATGTTGCTAATTCAACACGTTTCCTACTTGTTGGTATTTCAACAACAACAACACCAACATTCACCATTCCCCGCTGCCATTTGCCGTTATATGTTGGTTAAGAGATATTCGTATCGCCGTATCCGTATCCGTTTTCAGCGCAGTCCTTCTCTGCAACTAAAACTAATATGCTTGGTTACACATGTCTGGCATTAGGCTTTTAGCTTAAATAGTTTCATTTACCATGTTTACACACTTACCAATGTAAATGCACAACTACATACATACAGAATACATGTAGGCTATATGTTTATGGCCATGTAGAAGATAAAAAGCTTTTACTCACACATACACTCACACACAAATGAGCTGTTTGGATATTCTACGGATGTCCTTGTGTTTATGTAGCAGGAAAAGGAAATGATGGCAATGAGAAGAGTCTAGCATGGCAAGAAGATTAACTACAACAGATCACATTACCTCCAGCCCAGGGACCTCCACTTGTAGCTTTCTCTTTCTCCTTTTTTTGGCTTTAATATTAACATTTTGTTTTTCTTTTTTTTTCGCCCCGTTTCTTTAAAGGTTACAATCATGAGGTACCTAACGCTTTACACTACACTGCGTACCTGCCTCGTTTGGAAAATGAAGTTACCGTCATCACCAGCACCTCCAACATGCAACAGCAGCCGCAATCGCATCATCAGCATCCATTCAATTATCAAACACCTCCGCCCTCGAATGCATCGTCGCCTTCAGCATCACCCTCCAGCCGCAGCAGCAGTATATCTTGTGAACGTCTTAGTCCGCCCATAATACGCATCAAAACCGAGTCGCAAGATGATGTGGATTCGAGCAGTACGGAATCGCGTAAATGCTATAGCAGCACTGGAGCTGCCCTCTCGCTGCCGCCCAAAAAGAAAGACATTTACCGGCCGTACTCGCTAGACGACAGACCTTCGACAGATCGCCTGCGTTTGCGGGTGCCAGCCGAGGAGGATTTGCATGCGGCCCATGCCATTTTAGATTTGAGCGCCTCAACAGCCTTCCATCCGCCAACACAGCCTCATCAATTGCAGCAGATCCACCAGCACCATCACGCCCATCATCAGCACCTGAGCCATCACCAGCCTTTGCATCCGCTGCATCACATCACACAGGCCATACAATTGCAGCAGCAGCAACAACAACATCAACAGGCAGCCGCCCAACCTTCAATAGCTGATTTGGCTGCCGCAGCCATTGTGGCCAATGAACAACGTCCCCGTTCCAACTCTTCCATGCACAGCATGCAAAGTAATTCGGACAGTGAACGTCAGCCCAGTTCGCCGGCCAGTTCCGTGCAGAATGAGAACAACAACACCACAAATCAGTTTCCTACAACAACAAATGGGCCGACCAGCAAAACCGTGGCCTATACCTATGAGGCGTTCTTTGTGAGCGATGGTCGTTCGAAACGTAAAAACATCACCGATCCAGTGGTGGCCTTACAGCAGGAACAACAAAAGGCCAAATACACTTGCAGCGAGTGCGGCAAACAGTATGCCACCTCCAGCAATTTGTCGCGCCACAAACAGACACACAGATCGCTGGACTCTCAATCGGCCAAGAAGTGTCACACCTGTGGCAAGGCTTATGTCTCCATGCCCGCCCTGGCCATGCATGTCCTGACGCACAAACTCTCCCACAGTTGTGGTGTGTGCGGCAAACTCTTCTCCCGTCCTTGGCTGCTGCAGGGTCATTTGCGTTCGCACACCGGCGAAAAGCCCTATGGCTGTGCCCACTGTGGCAAGGCCTTTGCGGATCGTTCCAATCTACGGGCTCACATGCAGACGCACTCCATCGACAAGAACTTCGAATGCAAACGCTGTCACAAATCATTCGCCCTGAAATCGTACCTCAACAAACACTTGGAGTCGGCGTGCCTGAAGGATGAGGCCGATATGCAATTCGACAGCACCAGTGACAGTGGTGGCATGACTTCTCCTACTCCTACCGAGGACTATAATCCTCCCAACTATCTCCAGCAGCAACAACAACAACAGGCACAAAATGCTTTTAAGATAAGTCACATACCACAGCCAGTACCAGCAGCGGCTGTGGTGAAAGTAGAGGCCACATTTGCGGGTTAAGAACCGCAAGAAAAGTAACAGAATATTGTAAGTAGTTTTAAAACAAAAACCAAAAGAAACACAAAAACCAACAACAACACAAACAACGCAAGAAGAAAACAAACACAAAACAAAAGAAAAAGGTTACGATTTTGTTTAACAAAAATGTTGGCAATTTTTCTTAAAAAAATCCATCTTTCAAAAAAAAGAAAACAAATAAGTAATATGACAATATTTACATTTTACATACAAAACAAAATTAACTGGAAATACCACAACCATATTTCTATTATGATCTACAATTAATTTTTATATAATTAATTTAATTTAAAAAAAACAAACCTCAATTAAGTTTTAGTTCATTAATTTGTGTACACTCAAAAAATCGCAATTCGTCCATTTTATTTTAAGCAAAACATTCCAAATGCGGCGTTTTGCCGGGAACGAGCGCAAAACGCGAATTCAAAGGATCTCTTATAATTTGTATAGCATATTTACGATAGGAAATACTCACATACTCTCCTCCCCTCCATCAAGTTTATTCTCTCTCTCTAGTCAAATTACATAAATTAATAATACTCACTCTCTTTCATTATCATCATCACTCACCCATTGTTCGTTACCAAGCCATTGAAACATTTCCCTCTCTCACATCAACTCAACTCACTTAGGCTTAATTCTCATCTCATCACTCTGCTCATTTCTTCTTGTATTCTACCTTAAAAGCAATACTCTTAAGCAAAAGTGTTCTTAGACAACCCAGCAAACAAAGCAACGATGAACATTGAAATTGTGAAGCAAATTTGAATCAACGAAAAGCAAAGTTTCTCAAACAACGAATTAGGCCATAAGTCCAGAAAACAAAACAAAAAATAAAAAAACCAATTCCAAACTCTAGTAATCTACATATACTCTTAATATACATTATAGGAAAGAAACAAAAATATATTTCGAAAAGTTATTAAAAAACCATATAACAAAAGATCCTCTCCACTCTTAAAGAAAGCAATATTACATTTATATTTTCTAAAAAATTAAAGGCCCAAAAAATCAGTCAATTAATTATAAGTCAGAAAAGGAAAATGGAATTCAATTATTTGGTTTTTAACGAACGTAACGAACCCTGTTTCCCTCTTAAACACTAATTTCTCTCTCTCTAGTCAATTCCCTACCAGTCAATCTAAATGAAAAGTATCCAAAGATAGCAACCTCTCACCATACCAGTGTTTGTATTCATACCAAAAGTTTAGTTTAAATTGATAAACAAAATAATAATTAGTTTAGCATTTTCCCTAGTCGCTGTAGAACAGCTGTAGTTTTCTTAAATTAGTTTATTTTCATGGCATACTTTTAGGAGTTATACAGCGCAAATAGTTGAAGAATAACCCCAAACTCTTTACTTCGCTCTCAACATTCCATCTCTACGTTTTAGGTTTTAGTTATAAAAAAACAAGAATTACCAGTGTAATTTCTAGTCGTATTTATTAGGTAATTAGCATAGGATGAATAGTTTAGTTTTATTATGTTTAGGTTTCGTTTTTTTCCACTTTTTCTGCTTTGCTTTCATTTTCTCTCTCGAAAAAATCTTTTCCCTAAAATTATACTTCTTATATCTTTCCCTCTCTCTTCTGAAAGTCTTTACACTTTCTAATCTAACTACTTCTTCTGAGTACCTATTTCTCCATTTTTATTCTCTTTAAATCTTTTTAAATTCTTTCTCTTGCTGCTCTCCTTCTTTCCTCTCTTCTTCTAAATTATATTTATCACATTAGTTTTAATTATAGAATGAAGACACTATCTTCATTATAATGAGACACAATCCCAGTTTTAATATTGTTTGTTGTTTCTAGTCTTAAATTAAGTTTTCATTTCTTTCCTCACTCTCTCTCTCTCTCTCTTTTGTTTTTTTAATATTTCTCTTTAAAACGCCTGTCTTTAAATTTATGAATTGTGTTCATATTTTACATAGATGGGCAAGTATGCACGCTAGCGTTGATATCTCTTATTCTCCGTCATAAGTAAAATATAAAAAAAAAGACATACATGAATAATTTTGCACAATTGTTAGTGAAAATAATTTTTTTGACAATTTTGATTATTTGTTTGTTTAAAAATTATTAAATAATCAAAAATTCAATGCAGGAAAAGTTATTTCAAAATTCTCTTTAGCATTTCTCTTTCAATATTTTGCCCTTCTATGACATGAATTCAAATGATCTCTTTGTGTTCTAGTCTATTTATACTCTTTCAACTACTCAATTATTCTCTCTCGATTAGTTATATATTTTCAAGTGATCTCTATTCAGTGAACTCTAGTCTTAGTTTAATATTCTCTCTCTTCTCTTTGTTCTAATTATATATTATCATTTATATATTTTTGTAATATTCAACTTTCAACTGATCTCAAAGCTCTCTGAATACTCTGCTTTTAAAATTTCTACTTCTTCCTTTCTAAAAAACTCTTCAACTCTCTCTTTCTCTCTCTATCCTATTTCTATTTTCTAAAGTTCTATCTACATTCTTGAATTACATATATTCTGTTATGTGTTCTAAACTTTCTATCTTTACTCTATGACTCTCTCTTTCTCTCTATGACTTTCCAATGTCCTATTCTATCTCACTTTTCTTTTTTCACTTCCCCTTAACTTAACAATTAAACATAAAAAAACCCCAAACAAAAAAATAACTTTCAGTTCAAATTTTTGATCAATTTTCAGTTACTAGTTCAATTAAGTGGATACCATTGCGAATATGGCTTCTACAACAGTGGGATAAGGGTGCAATAATAACATTAATTAATTATTTAGCGAAAAAAAGCAAAATAATTAAAATACAAAACATTTTGGCTTACATTAAATTAAACAAAATTTATCTGTACATACAAAACAAATATATAGAACTCTTTTTTTGGGATTAACCACAAAAAACAAGCTCTTATATAAATCTCCCCAAATCTCTATCTCTCTCTCTTTCTCCTCTGTACTATATTACTCTAATTCTCCTAAAACTGTAGAATAAAATCCATTCTAGATTAATTGAAACTATATTTAAGCAAAACAAAAGAAAAAACTGTTTTAGAGTTTTTTACACAGTCTACCAGTGTTAACCTCACTTTCTCTCCCTCTCTCTCGCTCTCAGTCTAAACATGGGCTCCTCTGAAAACTCTTTTATCTTATGTTTCCCTTTGTGTCACTCACAGTTTACTCTCTCTCTCTCTCTTTTATTTTTCTTTAATATTCTAACACTCTCATACCCTCTTAATTTTGCTTTTTCTCTTTCTCTTCCTCAATTAAGCCCCAAACTCTAAACAACAGTTTTTTGACTCTCTCTAATTTCTGTTTTTGTACAAAATTGTGTCAATTAAACCAAAACAAATAGGAAACGGAAACAACAAATGGAAAAGTTTTACATATAACCATAGAAGCTCTGCAATGACAGAGGATTTTTAGGGTTTTAAAAGCTTTTAGGTTTTTATGATTAACTCTTTAGTTATTAGAGTGTAGTTTTAGTAACACAAGCCCCCTCTCAAGGACAACTTAAGGGTTAAGCTTTGCCTACCACAGTGTACAGCATAAGAAAGGGGCTGCTAACGTTAGGTATTCTGAGTGACATTCTTTACTTAAAATCAGTATTTTTACAAATGATGACACACACACATACATACATATATAGGTTTAAATAATAATAATTTTCAACAACTTTGCTCCACAACAACCTCAACAATTTTCTCTGTCTCTATGCATCTCTTGTATTTAAAGAAAAAGGAATCGCAATGATTTTCTTGCAGTCATAAATGTCGAGTGTTCTCTAGTCACTAGAACCCCTAACGCAAACGCCTCTGGTTTGAATAGTTTTAACAAAAAAATATATTTTAATACCAAAAAACAAAATCAGCTTCAATGGCCGATCTCAAGTAAATTAAATAATAGATTTAAAAGAAAAACGGAATCTATTGGAAGTAAAAATCCCAATTTTCTTCTAAGATCCCATACAGCCAGAAAAACCAAATATATGAAAATAAAACTTGCTGAAAAAACATAAATTAAGGAAACAGCCTAAGTTAAAATTTTTATAAGTCCCCCCTTCCTTAACCTTTCATAACAAAGGATACCTAGGAAAATATAAAGAAAAATAAAAAAACAAACAACTCGGCTAAAGTACCAAAGCAATACTCATTTTTATACAAAATAAGCAAAATTTAAACAAAAAAAGTTTTGCTGAAATATTTGTAAGAAATTAAAATTTATATAAAAATTAAAATAATTTTAGTTTTAATTTTAAATGTAAATATTTTCAACTACAATTAAATTGTAAATATTTGTTATAACAAAAACCCACAAACAAATTCAACTTATTCAACGAATCTTAAAACCAAAATGCTAAGATTGTAAGTTTTATAAGAAGCAATTAAGTCAATACCCAATTAAGCAATATATTACTAATTTAATTATTATTTATTTATTTTAATTAAATTTTGTATTAATTTTATGTTAACAATGATTTTTGTTAAATAATTAATTTTAATTATTTTATTTAAAAACAAAAACAACATTAAAAAAAATACAATGTAATAGAGTTTTGTATAGTTAAAGTAACATTATATATAAATATTATTTTAAAGTTAATTGAAAACAAACCATCTACCAGTTATTTATTATTATTATTCATTATAAATGAACGTAAAAATTAAAAAAAACAATTCTTATAACAAACCAATCAACCCAAACAAAAAACGTATATAATGGCATATTTATATAAATAAAAAAGAAAAAACATTCATAAAAAGAAACGTATATACATGATTAATTTAAATAATAAATAATTTAAGAGTTACACTAATATACATACAAACAAACAAACATACTTACATACATACACCTTATAAATACAAATCAAAATTGAAACAAAACAAAAAAAAAAATATATATATATACAAATATATTGTGAAATATTATTGAAAACACAAACAAAACTTATTCTTGTTTTATTTTTTTTAAACATTCAACAGCAACAACATAAAATATTTTTATTCATTTTATGTTTTTTTTTTTAATTTTTTTTTATAAATGCGAGTTAAGAGCAGGCGGGTGGTTGACGGTATTGGTGAAAATAGCTTGGGATAATTTAAAAACTTGGACATTTTTATCCAAAGGCAGCATAGTTTTTTTTTTCTTGTAACAGTAGAAAATGGGCTTTCGGCAAAAGAACAAATATCATTAT